AGTTACTTGGCTAGTCAATGTAATGAAAGGAATGAATAAGTAGATAACTCCCTAATTCCCATGGTATTAGGGAGCTATCTACTAAAAGGCTGAAAGGCCTAAATAGGCTGCTCACTGTTTAATAGACCTGCCTCTACTCGCGGTATAGCGAGTAGAGGCATAATTTACTAATACTAAGTAATTTTTACTTAGTATTAGTAAATTTGTCTGAAAGACCAATTTAGGTCTTTCAGCCTTTTGGTAGATAACTCCCTAATACCGTGGGAATTAGGGAGTTATCTACCAAGCGGCTGCAAGAGAAGTTCCGAAGTGTCGACGTGCCGAAGTTGCTGAAGTACCGAAGTGCCAAAGTTACCGAAGTGGTGAAGTGCCGAAGTTCCGAAGTGTCGAAGTTGCAGAAGATTCGAATTGCCGAAGTCCCGAATTTCGGAATGCCAAACCAAAAATTTTTTACATGCACATGCCTAGTGATTATTTCTGATGATTTAAAGGTAGGCAGACAATGTAATAGAGCAGCAGGAAATGCTAGCAGAATGCTTGGTTGTATAGGGAGAGGGATTAGCAGTAGAAAGAGGGAAGTGCTCATGTCATTGTACAGAACACTGGTGAGTCCTCACTTGGAGTATTGTACGCAGTACTGGAGACCGTATCTCCAGAAGGATATTAATACTTTAGAGAGAGTTCAGAGAAGGGCTACTAAACTGGTTCATGAATTGCAGGATAAAACTTACAAGGAAAAGTTAAAGGAACTTAACATGTATAGCTTAGAGGAAAGACGAGACATGGGGGATATGATAGAAACATTTAAATACATAAAGGGAATCAACAGAGTAAAGGAGGAGACTATATTTAAAAGAAGAAAAACTACCACAACAAGAGGACATAGTCTTAAATAAGAGGGGCATTAGAAGGTTTAAAAATAATATCCGGAAGTATTACTTTACTGAGAGGGTAGTGGATTCATGGAATAGGCTTCCAGCGGAAGTGGTAGAGGTTAACACAGTAAAGGAGTTTAAGCATGCGTGGAATATGCATAAGGCTATCCTAACTATAAGATAAGGCCAGGGACTAAGTATTTAAACAAATTGGGCAGACTAGATGGGCCGAATGGTTCTTATCTGCCGTCACATTCTATGAAACTAATGTGTAATGTAATAATACACAAGGCGCACGTACAAATACAGGGAGCCTACCCCCGCAAAAAAGCCTGAAAAACAGCGGGAATATCGCGAACGTGACCATTCCTGCTTGTTACCTGAAACTCTTTGTAAGATTAGCCTGGTAGTAATCTTTGTTCGGAGGATTTTGTGGGAAAAACCCTGGGACGGAACTGCGAGGAGACCTGAAGGAGCTAAATTTGATGGGAGATTTGAACGAGGCCGGAACCGGAAGTGCAGGTATCCAGGATACGGATGTACCTTCCAAAACGTAGGATGAACGTCAGCTTTCCAAAACATAGGACGAACAACAGGAGGAGGGCTAAGAGGAGGGGGTATATATAGACCAGCAACAAACCCTTCGACAAGTTCAGGCATTCTGTCTTCCACATATACAATACAAGGCTGAGGGCACTCACTGTTCTCCAATTATTTTCCAAAAGGAATGTTGTAATGCTTTGGTGCACCATGCTGAAAGCAATGTATATCCAAATATTTCAGCAAAGAAAGATGGGCACTCACAGATCTTACTCACAGAATTAGCAAATTTATAAGTGTAGAATCATCGTTTCAGATCTGTTCTTGATCATTTCTTAAGACAAAATACACCAGTACAATACAGCATTTATATAATATACACAATATAATAATTAATTGATTAATTACTCTACCTGTTCGTGTCCTGCCACCGTAAGAGTCTAAACTGAAAATTGCAGAAGTGCATAATCCGGAAATTGCAGAAGTGCATAATCCGGAATACCGGAAGTGCATAATCAACAGTGCAGCATGATAAGACTACCTGCTGGAAAAGTGAATGATGTACAACAGTTCCGGAGGACCAAAAAGTATCAAGATGTTCAGGGTTCTATTTTACCACTGTCTGATCTACCGGAAATCAATGAAGCGTAAAAAATGTATATTTATATTAATAAGAATGATTTCTATAAAGAAAGCACCCATGTATATCCTATTCATTAACGTTGCTAGTGAATATCCGATCTGTAAAAAGTGTTTCGCCACCGGTTTTTCAGTATGTCCATCGCAGTAAGCAGTGTTGATCGCTGAACAATGTCCTCGTATACAGTCTCTTAGGGTTAGCTCCATCTTGTCACATTTAATCCCACTACAAAATTTATGCTGGCAATAATGGCTACCATTGTAAGAGGATTTGAGGCTGGTATTCTTACAGAGAAAGAAAAAGATTATCTTGTACAAAATCATCCCCAAATTCTTATATTACACACTTTTCCTAAGTTGCATAAAAATATTGTCTCACCCCCTGCACGCCTATAGTGTCAGCCATGGGAGGTGTAACGGATCACCTGGCACCCCGACTGGGTACCTCCATTGAAGGATGCTTCTAGCACTTACAGAGGACTCCAAGCGCTCCGCAGACACCACAACCACCGCAGACCCCACGAACCGCTGCAGCTTGGTTGGGGTCTCGCCGTCTCCTAGCCACCCTGGACCTACGACAAGGCTTAAAGGTTCCAGTGGGTGAACCTCTCCTCCAAGAGAGTGAAGCAGGAACAAGCTCTTAAAAGAGCTTAGTAGTGATTAGCTAAGGGAGTATGACAAGCATAGCAATCCCTTGTAGCAGATTCCCCCAATAAGAGATAGGACTCAGATTGAGGGTGAAGTAGAACTGAAGCTTTTAATCAAACACTCTGCTTTTATGCACATTTTACACACATAGTACTGCCCACAGGGTTTTGCAGAACAACCAATCAATACGTACAATACACTCAGACACAAAAATCCTCCCCTCTGCCTGTGATATAATTACTGAACACAATGGTCTAACTTAATTATCACAGGCAGGAAAATACACAGTTTTACACAATATTCATAACTTTAAAAGTATACATCACATTCACCCTTTGTGGCCATCTGCAAGCATGGCTTGGATGTGGTAAGCCAATTACCTCCAGCATACAGAAAATGGCTCTATTCACAACAACAGTAAAAACACATAAAAATACATAATTCCTATTATACTTAACAGAACCCCCACATTCTGATCTGAGCGCTCACTATATCTGAATAGCGCTCAGATACCACAACCACAGTCAAATCGCCATGGGGTTAAAACACTGCAAGAGCTGATGAGAGACCGAGGAGGGGCAAAACAGCAAGTTCCAACTGGTCTGGCAGTGTGCCTGGGACAACGCCCTGCTGGAACAATAGACAGGAAACGGGGGAGGGGAAGAGACACATCTTCCCATGGATTCAAATGGGCAGAAACAGTTTTTTAGAAGCAAATAAGCCCCAAATAGTCTTTTTAAAATTGCAATACACCCCAGGGCCATAGTCATGAGGGATGAGGCTGGCAATCAGGCTCCTCCAACAGCCAGGGGCAAAGGGCAGTTGTTCATATGAAAATCCAGTGACAAAAGGCATTTTGTCACAGGAGGGATCTTAGAACCTCTGGGCAAATGGATCTATTACTATTTACAAGAGCCCATAAAATATACAGAAACCTATTTACGTGACAGTGGAGCTTTTATCCAGATTTTACAACATACACAGTTACCTGGGTGTGACATAATATTGGCAACAATGGACGTCTCAAGTCTGTACACAATCATCCCCCATGAGGATGGGATTAATTAATGCAGTACAACAATTGATTTCAACTTCCCATCATTATCATGGACAGAAAATTTAATACTTTTTAGAAGTGCTAAGATTAGCGCTCACATTAAACTATTTTCATTTTGAAAATAGGTATTACATACAAAAGACTGGAACAGCGATGTGGGCAGCAATGGCCCCCTCATACGCAAATGCCTACATGACTATGTTTGAAGAAACAATTTTAAAGTCTATATTCCAGCAACGAGCATTAATTTATATCGATGATTGCTTTATAATAGGGTGATGAACAATCCTTTGGGGAATCAATAGAAATGATCAACACGTACCCAGGTCCTGTTAGGATGACACATGAGTACAGCAGACATACAATTTTCTTGATTTAACCATTATTTGGGAGGATCAACATTTGGGCTACATGTTATACAAGAACACAGACAGGCATACTATCCTGCATCAACAAAGTTTCCATCCACCTCACATTTTAAAATATGTGAATTATACTCAGTTCCTTTGTGTTCTACGCAACAATTCAAATACTGTACAAATGCAGATATAAGATGTATGATCAATTTTTAGACAGAGGGTACTCTACTTCCCTATTAACCACACAACTTGAAAAGGCAAAATCAACAATGAATCACACTAAGGAACAGATAGTCACTGAGGAATAAAAAGAAGGAAGTTACCAGACTTAAGTACAACACTCAATATACGACAGCAACTGAATTTTCTTCCAAGTCAGTCAACGCACAGCGGAAAATTCTGTCCAGCAATAAAGCTCTTCCTTGGGACTTCAAATATCCTCCTAAGTTTAGCTTTGTACGAGGCTGCAAGATCTGCAAGCTCAGAGATACTTTTCTGTCCTCCAGAACTGTTTTACATCATTCACATTTCCAGCAGGTAGTCTTATCATGCTGCACTGTTGATTATGCAATTCGGTATACCTGCAATTTTTAGTTTAGACTCTTACGGTGGCAGGACACGAACAGGTAGAGTAAGTTAATCAATTATTATATTGTGTATATTATATAATTGCTCTAACTAACTTTTCTTTGCGGAAATATTTGGATATATATATGTATAAATATATACATACATACATACACAGTTAATTGTTACACTTGCTTTATGTTTTCTGTATGGAGAGATGCAGAAAATCAGTTTATCATTATTGTTTTCCTGACTCTCAACATCCCTCGCTCTTTTGTTTTTAAAAGTCATGAGAGTGCGCATAGATACCAGTGGCGGATCCAGAGCCTGATCTCGAGAGGGGCACTTGTAGATTATTTAAATAAATAATCCAGGCACAATAACCACTACAGCTCAGTGTAGTAGTTATGGTGTCAGTAGTGCCAGGATCCCACCCCAGAGTAAGTAGTCATACCGTTTAAGAACAGTTTGACAACTTACCTGGGGTCTGCTGGGATATAGGGTATAGGAGCAGTGGTGTGTGTTAAGGGTGAAGTGTGTGAGTGCGGCAGTGTATGTCAGGGACAGTGTTTGTGGGGCAGTGTGTGTATGGGGACAGTGTTTGTGGGGCGGTGTGTGCGTATGGGGGCAGTGTGTGTATTGGGACAGTGTTTGTGGGGCAGTGTGTGTAATTGGGGGGGCAGTGTGTGTGTAATGGGGGGGCAGTGTATTTATGGGGGAAAGGAAATAAATATCCTATGTCCCCCCTCCCTTCTTACCTTTATTTAGGAAGAGGGGGGACATTTCCCTGGTGGTCAGGTGGTCTGAGTGAACTCTAGCCCGCGCTCCCGGGCTAGAGTTCACTCTCGCGAGATTTGGAGCGTTGCCGTGGTAACCGCGGCAACGCTCCAAATCTCGAGAGAGGAGGACCCGGAGGAGCTACAGACTGAGCTCCCGGGTCCTCCCTCTCCCTCCCCCGCCGGCTGTCAGCACAGTGCCTGCGGACCGGGGAGGGAGATCTCTGATCTTCCTCCCCGGTCCGCAGGCACATTGCAGGGCTGGCACTTGGGCAATGCCAGCCCTGCGTTAGCCGGCAGGGGGGAATCTCGGGGGGGGCAATTGCCCCGTTGCCCCCCCCCTGGATCCGCCAATGATAGATACTCTTGCACGACTAGTGCTAGTTCATGTGAGACAGGGATGGGTAGATTAGGAGGTGAGATGCAGAAAAGAGGAAAGGGGGAAGGTTAAAGATGTTCTCCTAGCTCAGAGGCGTGCCAGAGAAAGTAAACTGACAAAGTTTATAATACTATAATTGGAAGGGCATAGCTAGTATCAGAGAAGGATTAATATCCCACAGGTTCCTAGGCTGGTTACCAGTTTGGGTCCCTCCTTCATTCTTTACATAGGGATGGTTAATGGGGCCAAGCAAATTTATGGTTCCAGTGCCCCTAATTAACCCTTGTGCCTTAGGCAGCCACCCAAGGTCACCTTACGATCAATTTTGCTCTGGCGAGCGTCAGCCAGAACAAGGCACATTTGCTAGTAGTAGGACAAATATATTATTCTATTCCATGCTTATAACATATATACATTGCAAGGAGAAAACAGAAGACAAGAAATCTGCTTTTGCTGATATTCAAATAGTGACATACACTATTTACTTGCTTTGGCTGAGTTCTTAACCTTATGTAATTGTAGTTGTCAGAGATTTTGATAAGGTCTTAAACTCATCACGGACAAAAAAAGCCTGAGATACGTTATGAATCAAGAAACATTCAGTGATGCTTGAAGGCAAACTTTTATCCCTAATTTGTTTCAGCACTTTAACTGCACCAGGAATGATGAATTTGTCTTCATGATGGCTGTCAAACATTTCCTATTTTGGTAAGATAAATGTGAGGCACACAATATGTGTCTAAAAATGTATTGACGAATAACTAAATCAACTTATTGTTGGGTAAACAAAAGTCCAAGAATGAACTGAAGACAAGCTAGGTGCTTATTCATAGACTTTCTAAGGGAAAACTTTTTGGCACAAACTGTAGCTAGATTTAGTTATGGCGGTTAACCTTGGCTTGTGATGACAATGCCTAAAATGGGACTTGGCTAACTGCAGTTTTTAAATTGTAATTGCTCAATATTTGGATGTATATTTTATGATCGCGGCTCAACACCCTGTGTTTTCTTGAACTACATGGATTTCCGGTGACTTAAATATTCGCATAAGATTAACAATGTTTGAATATGAATATTTTAATCCTTTTAAGCCAGTTTAACATATTGTGATGGTAATCCCATTTACCTAAGCCTATTGCATTTCGAGTCTCAATAGGTCTTTATTTGTTATTATGCTTATAAAATGAGGTACCTGCATCTCTTTTGCCTTGACCTACATGTATATTATTGTTGACTATAATGTATATTAGGAAAAAAAACTTGTTAAATATCCTTAAATCAAAGAAAAACAAGTTACCTGCGCTCTCTCCTAATCCCTATGTATTTTTAAACAAATTGAGGTGTTTTTAGTTACCTCCAATGGCCATAAGAGGATAAGCCCACCTGCCACCGTCAAGGCAGACCCCCCCAGGTGGGTCCTAACTCTAATCATTCACCTTGCTTCCTTGAGCTTCTGGCAAAAATCTCTAAAGAGACAGAAAGGGGTATTTTTTATATACACCCCTCTATATTATTAACCCTTAATAGGGAACACATGGGATGGGCGGCTGCATTGTAACAAGGCTGAGTGATACAAAAAATGGATACAAATGCAGAAAGATAAGTCCTGCGCTCACTCCCATCACTGGGCGGCAGCAATGACTACAGTACACATCAGCCCCAATATATAGTAAAAACCAAAGAAAAACAAGTTAACTGCGCTCTCTCCTGGCTAGAGTTAGGGCCCACCTGGGGGGGTCTGCCTTGACGTTGGCAGGTGGGCTTATCCTCTTATGGCAATTGGAGGTAACTAAAAAACCTCCATTTGTTTAAAAATGCATAGGGATTAAGGAGAGAGCGCAGGTAACTTGTTTTTCTTTGGTTGTTACCATATATTGGGGCTGATGTGTACTGTAGTCATTGCTGCCGCCCAGTAATGGGAGTGAACGCAGGACTTATCTTTCTGCATAAATATCCTTAAATTACCACTGTCTTTATGAACTAATCAAAATTTATTCCATTCTCTAATATAATTTATAGTATAGTGAAAAAAAGTGATTTAACCCCTTAAGGACCAAACTTCTGGAATAAAATGGAAATCATGACATGTCACACATGTCATGTGTCCTTAAGGGGTTAATCAACAAATCCATCTCCTGGTGAAAAACCCCCAACTTCCATAAAAAACTTGGTCCCTGTATTAAGAAATTGGGATAGCCAAGACTTTAAATATATATTACAAAAGAATGGGTAAAAACTATTTGTGGGGGGCGGAGCTTGCCAGCGCAGCCGAACAGACGCCATCTATTTGGGCTCCGATAATCCAACCACTAACCCGCGGCAAATTCAGCAAACCAGGGGCAATCCAACCCCAGCGATAGCACCATCAGCCTGGGGAACTCACCCACTGCCCATCGATGACCTTCTTTCAACTGCCAAAATCTAAGCGCCGGACCGGAGCCTACAAAGCACCGGCCTACACTAGCTGGGACACGCTTTTCAGGGGCGCGATACTCACCAGTGCCGCTGAGGTACCTCCACAACCAACACAGAGTAACACAGCAACTCCGGCAGACATAAGGCGCAAACAGCAAAAGCCCTCACACGGAGAAGCCCCAGACTCACAGGACATCAGTACAATGCTGCCATAGCCGGCGCCAACCAAAATGGTGGCCGGGGAGAGCAGGAGCACGAGGAACCCCTCAGACAAGATGGAACACAAGGGGATACAGGCCACACTGGTGAGGGATGACACGGATGCCACACAACTTGACTCCATCACCAGCAACCTTGCCACTAAGCAGGACTTACAAACCCTCTTACTGAACATCCAGAAACTCCTGGCAGCCGACACAGCGGCGATGAAAAAGGACGTTCAGCCGGTCACGGACTGAGTTAGTGCCACTGAGAACGACATACAAGATGTCCGCACAGAGATATCAACCATGAAAGCTACTCTAAGCAAACTTCAGTCCGCTAACCAGGTACTTACCTCACAAGTCTCAGCGCTAGAAGACCGCCACAGGCGTAACAACGTCAAGATCCACGGGGTCCCTGACTCAGTCAAGGCAGAGGAATTGCCCCACTAACTGTGGCGCCTAGTGGCCTCTGTGCTACTGGCTCCAGTGGCGAAAAAATTCACTTACCTGCCTCCACCAAGGCACAATCAGCTGCCAATAGAGACATTATCCTCTGCTGTGTATCACATCAGGACAAAGGGCACTTGCTGATGGACCTGAGGGACAAAACCCCATACACATTTGAAAACTCCCAGCTCACAGTCTATCAGGACCTTACAAGAACCACCCTGCAATGGCGCAGATCTCTACAACCCATCACGACTCAACTACGCATGGCAGGGATCGTATACAGGTGGGGGGCACCATGATCTCTACTAGTATCACACGATGGGGCCACGCACAAGCTGGGAACTGTCTCCGAAGGACCAATTCTCCTGACCGCACTGGGTCTACACACACCCACCACTACCCCATCTTTGTATTCTTTATGTTATTCACAAATGCTCTACAGCTCTCACACAAACGTGACCACCCGGCCAATCACGAAAAACATGCACACCACGCTCAAGAAGCACGAGCAATATTGCCTGACACGGCCCTAATAGGCGTCTAATACACCGCACCTACGTGCGATCACAGATCTAAGATCCCCGCTGGCAACCAAATTTGATCACCTCCCTCCACCCCCACGGTTAGAACCCCTTCAGTGACTTACTTGTATCCAGCGCCGATGTCCCTTGGCGCTGGTTCAGGGTCCGCCCACACTCCTTCTCCGCCAATGTCATCCGGCGGGGGAGACCTATTGCGCATGCACGGCCGCCGGCAGGGGGAGACCTAATGCGCATGCGCAGCAATGCTTTCAATGCTTTCCTATGGGGATTTCAGCAAAGCTGGATGTCCTCACATAGCGTGAGGATTTCCAGCGATGCTATAGCACGCGAAATGTGTGCTATAAACCCGGAAGTGCCCTCTAGTGGCTGTCTAGTAGACAGCCACTAGAGGAGGTGTTAACCATGCAAGGTAAATATTGCAGTTTATGAAAACTGCAATATTTGCAGTTGTAGGGTTAAGGGTAGTGGGAGTTGGCACCCAGACCACTCCAATGGGCAGAAGTGGTCTGGGTGCCTGGAGTTTCCCTTTAATAACACATAATAACTGCAGTAGAATGCAGATATTACAACACTGGAACCAACCAGAAACTCCCTCTCTATCACTTAACTAAGCTCCATCATCTTTTGGATTGGATAAACACACTAAAAAATAAAGAATTAATGGTTAAAAAAAAATCCTCTCTATATGGAAACAATGTATTCTCACCTTAGAGACTTCCTTCAAAAACAGAGTAAACAATACATTGGAATACCCTGCCTGGTGTTCTGCTGAATTAGTAGCTGGTCATAACCCATTGTCCATCTAACCATCTAACAGGTGGA